AATGGACTTATTTTAATCGAAAAACGAGTACTTTGAAACCCACAATCTCCTCACTTTTTCACGTGATCTGTAACTAGAAAAAGCCCCCAAAAATCCCCCCCCCCCCAAGAATCTTCTAGATCAATTTTTTCCCCATTTTCTTCCTCCATTTTCATTTTTCATTCATCAAATTCCTCCTCCACTAATCCAAATTCCGATTTCTTTTATCTAAACATAGAACTAAAGTGGGGAAATAGAAGAAAGTTCCGATTTATCACGAATCAACACTCGGTTAATTAATCCGAATTTCGTTTTGGGTTGATGGGCTTTGAAAAATAATGTACTAAAGTAATACAAATATATGTTTATAGAAGAATCTACTGTATATAAAGCAGAAGAGACGTCTGTCCGTCTGTGCGCAGCTATTGGCAAAAGGAGCCGGGCTTAGATTGCGCGGAAAACGTGGACCTTCCCAGTTGGAAAACGCGAACGTTAATGAGGGTTTTCCGCTGGTATACAATAATATGTACAGTTTTAGCCTTAAAATTCAAAAATTTGCTCATGAAACTTTGCGAGTTTAAAACCCAAATATAGTGTAGGGCCTATTTCGAACATTTCCTCACATTAAAAACTCTAATAATTTGCTCACTTTCATTTTCAAATTAAAGTTCAACATTTTGCAAAATCCGATCAAAATTTAAGAGATACGGTGATGATTTGACTTTAAAAATGCTTACAGAATTGAAAACAAAACCTGTGCCCATGCGTTAATTCTTTTAAAAAATTTAAAAGTTTAAAATTTAAACCTTAAATTTGCAACTCATTAAAATGAGAACGAAAAAAAACGGGGGTAAATGAAATGACCGGGAGGATTAGTGCAAGAAGAACTTGGGAACAGACCGAAAATTCTTGAAACGGACTAAAAAGGAAAATTTTCAAAAAATTTCCACCAAATTCTCATCTCTTTTTGACAAATGAGTGGAAATTAGGAACGAAAAGAAATTGAGTTAAAGTGGACGAAAAATTGGAATTGAGAGGGAAGTTTGGAATGGGCAAGGGGGCAGGGTTCTTTCATTTTTCATTTTTTCGGGACAAGCAGGCTCAAGAGCCAGGCCCTGGCCTTGAGACCTGATGCAGATTGGCTTTAATGACAGATGCAGGTGGAAAATTGTTGGCAGAAGTCAGGCCTCGACCTAGACCTGGTTTCACCAATTGCAAGACTCTGCAAATCGGCTAATCACAAAAGTACAAAAGAAAACTAAAGAAAAACTAGAATCTTTAAATAATTTTAAATGGGAAAGGGGGCCGAGCGAGGGAGCTTTTATACGCGCCCCGTCATTCGAATCATCATTCGAATCATCATTTCGAAGGGCATTTCACTAAGCGAGCTTAGTGAAATCCACTTTTTGCATCTTGTCATCTTGCAAAAAATCCGATTTCACGAAAATTTTTTTTTTTGCTGAAATCATTTGATCCATCTGACGTGGTGGCTTTTCGTTTGACTTTGATCATCCTTTCATGACTGAATTCCACGCTGACTAATTGGAGAGCAAAATTGGCTAAATCGTCGCCAAGTTTTCATCAGTAAACATTGTGCTGACAGCAACTCGCCTTTTTTTTTGATTCGGGTTCGCCGATGCTCGACATCTTGCTCGTAGCCGTAACTCGTAGCTTGTAGCCCGTAGCTCGTAGCCGACATCATCTTAGCCGCAAACCTAAATTTACAAAATTATTGCGGACAACAAAACACAAAGAACAGAAAAAGATAAAAAGAAAATAAAAGTCAATGATTTTAGCCAAATTTAAGCTGCGCGAACTGCAAAATTCAAATAGCTCTTTGCTACAATCTACAGAATCCTTTGTCTTACGGTGAGACGCAAAATAGGACGCCAAGTTTGGTAAAATAAAAAATCTTGCAAGATAGAAAGATGCAAGATGCAAGATTGCAAGATGCAAGATTGCAAGATGCAAGATGCAAGATTGCAAGATTGTAAGATGCATGATGCAAGATGCAAGATTGGTTGGTAAAACCGGGCCCGGATCTTGCCTAGCGCTCGGTTGAAACATCTATAAAAAATTTTATCTGGTAATTAGCGAAAATCCATCGTTTAGTGTCAGAAGCAAATAGAGGCTTGGAACTAGTAATAGTAAGCTTGCATTTTTATCTATTTCAATTTAAGTAGAATCTTTGAACAAAGTTTTTTCCCTTTAGAAAACTTTAGGAATAAGGAATTGTGATTCAAAAAGGCAAAATAATAGAAGCTAATAGGTAATAGTATGGCTAAGTCATTGCCGAAAGCGTCCAGCTTCTAGATTTCTTTACATTTTCTCTCAATTCCGAAAAAGAACTCTATAAAGGTCATTTTCTTGACTAAAGCCCAAATCTAAATAGCATCGCTTTATAATAAGGTCAAGGGTCAAATTTCAATCTTTTCAAGAAAACAAAAAAATAGAAATCGAATTTCTGCAATCTCAAATCAAATCAACTTCTTCATTTGTTTAAATGATGTAAAAGATTATAATTATTTCTCTACAAAAACATAAAGATTTATAGACTAAAAGAACCGATCATTGAAAAGGTATTCAATTCAAGGAATTCAATTCCCGGAGTTGAAAAATGAAAAGAGAATGATTGGGAAATTTTTTGAAAAAATTAAAGCATTTTAAGAGTTCCAAAATTTCTTGTTAACAGGCTTCTTTGCTGAACTCTAAAAGCTGACAAGGGAACCTTCCAAAGTTACCCGCGAGTTACAATGAGGTAGGTGCCAAAAGAAAGGCCGGAAAATGTACGTTCAGAAACTGTTTTCAAAAACCGCTAATCGGCAAAATGCACAAAGTTATAGCTATTTGAATTTCGAAAAAATGAAGGCTTTCCTTTCACCATCCCAAAAGTCAGCTCGTAGCCTAGTGGTTAGTGTGCCTGCGCTCGGAACTCCTTGCTCTTTATCAGCTTGAAAATATTCCCAAATCGAATCAAGTCCAGCCTAAACACCAAAAATCTGTGATGTGTATACGATGAGAAAACGAAACCATATTTTGATAAAATTTTGTTGAATTCGATTGAAAAAACGGATTATAAAGCATAGGTAATTCAAAATTATAGTTGAAAGAGGAGTTAAGTACAATTTGTTTTCTGAATTCAAGTTCTGTACGAAAAGCTTATCGAATTCTGCAAAATGAAATCTTATTCGCGTCTTGATTTTCTCTATTTTGGTGTTTATGTCTGTGTTTTCCCTCTTTGAAATGCAATGGAAGGAGTCTCCAAGGGCAATGGCTCGTAAAGATCGCCCCGAGACACAAATCTTACTTCATTCACCAAATATTTAAACTTAGCTCATTGTGAAAAGGAATGTTTTGTTTTGTTTTGTTTAGTTTTTTTTGTTCATTATGTTTTGAACTATGAAACTTATTTTTTTAAGCTGGAATTTCAAGGAATATGAGTAAGCTGTGGGAATGTTGTTTTTGAATGGATTTCACACTAGTCAAGAGTTTTCAAGAGTCAAGAGTCACTTTTAGTCAAGATTTTATTCATTTTTGAGCTATGAAACTCATTTTTTAAGGTCAAATTTCAAGGAAAACAAAAACCAACTGCAACTGTTACTGCAAAAAAAGCAAAAGCTTAACAAGAACAAAAAAATCAGAAAGCAAATACCCAACAATAGGCTTCAACAATCAAATGAAGCACATCATTTCTCATTGAATATTTGAATAAAAACCCACATACGAGCGGCCCAAACATCAACCAAATTCGTCCAAAAATTTTGTCTGTTTTCCCTTTCGAAAGTCTCGCGGGCAATTTCAGAGATTCGTGTGTTGAGCCAATGAAAAATTCACGAAATCCCACGAAAATATGTGTGAGAGATTTGATAAAAAAACGCTATTTTGAACGGCAACTTTGCGAAAATCATTTCAAAATCACGTTTGAGAAAACGAAAAAATTGTATCCGAGCTTTCGAGCTGAGAGATGCTAGTGAATTTTGACTCTTAATATTCTTGTTTTTCAGTTCTAAATGAAAAATATGAAGCTTGAAAGTTTCAGAGTTGCGTAGAGCTTAAAAGTTTGGCCATGGCCAATTCAAAAAGTTTAGAAAATCCTCTAGTTCTCCAGTTTAATCGGAAAATTTGACATCACCAAAACCTCATTTCGAGTCATTTGTCAGTGAAAAACGTGGAAAAAACCCAAATTTTTCGATTTCGTCGAAAAATTTGGACTCACTTTTGGGCGCTTTTTGGATTAGGAGCGGGTAAAATTTCTCGATTTGTAGTGTTTGTTTTGGGATAAAATTTCCCGCTCAACCGATGAACTCACCTCCACCGGAAGTCCTTTATTCTCGGCAGAAAAATTTGGACTCAATTCATGTTTTTTTCGTTATTGGATCTGAAAAGTACAGAGTTCGTGACAAGGAAATGTTTTCAAAGTTCGGGAGTGGGACAAATGCGACCTTTTTTTTTTCGCACCCGGACATTTGCGCACCTTTTTCTCCGCACCTTGCCCATTAGCGCACCTTTTTTCGCGTTTTAAAAAAAGCTCTAAAAGCTAATATTAACCAATTTTTATTCCAAAAATTGTTTTTCTAGGTAATTTGAGGGTGTCGAATCGAAATTTTGACATAAAGGGGCGTGTGGAACCAATTTGAAATACAAAACGGCTAGATCAAATTACAGAAAATTGTCGATTTTTCTCTTTGTATAACTCCGTCCGTTTGTTTCCACAAGCTCTGATAGGTCAAAATTTCGATTCTACGCTCTAAAATTACCTAGATAAACAACATTTGGAATAGAAATTGGTTAATATTAGCTTTTTAGAGCTTTTTTAAAACGCGAAAAAAGGTGCGCTAATGGGCAAGGTGCGGAAAAAAAGGTGCGCAAATGTCCGGGTGCGCAAAAAAAAGGTCGCATTTGTCCCATTCCCCAAAGTTCAACAAAAACAAGCATGAAAATTTGCAAGTTTACAAAATTTGCATACAAACAAAAAGGTTTTGCGGAAATTTTTTTTCTTTACTCATTTTTCATCTTTCTTCATGGCAGCCGATCAAGTTTTTGGATATCCGTGGGATGGTGGATCGCCTCTTTCGGCTATTGGTTGGTGTTCTTGATTGTCTTAAAGTTTTTTTGTAGTCAATCTAGTAAGCTGCAAAAAAAACATTGATTGTGGTAAAATGCAGCTAATTTTTGTTCAACAACGAGTCTAGAACGTCAATTTTTATTTAAACCTTGTGCTTGGGTAAAAAAAAGAAATAAAGCCAAAGCAGATTTCGCAGGAATTTGAACCGAATAAATCAAATAAATTCCCCGGTCAGCTTAGGCAGCTTTTGATTTTTCAAAAAAAAATTTTGAACAAGAAAATTCAATGAATCAGGGCGATCGCAAAACTTATTCACGTACTTTCGCAAAACTTATTCACGTACTTTCGCAAAACTTATTCACGTAAAATAAAAATTGACGTTCTAGACTCGTTGTTGAACAAAAATTAGCTGCATTTTACCACCATCAATGTTTTTCGAACCCCTATAATACGGTTAATTCCCTAAGATCCATCAAGTGAAGTCAATTTAATAAATTGCTTTCAAAGATCTATTGTGTGGGATTTGAATCAGATTGAGGGTTTTTCATTCAGGATAAGCCAAATCAAAACCTCGAAAAAAACGTCAGTGTACCCGGATTTAGTGTGACGAATTTATGAGCAGAGAGACCCATTTTTTTCTTTCTTTTTTCTTTTCCTTAACAGAACCCAATCGGGATTACAATGAGATTATTTACCATAGAGACAAATAATATTTTTTGATGGAGTTTTTTAGAAAATGATTTGGGGTTTCCCCGGAGTGGTCTAGAAACAATCAGCTATTTTTCGGGAAAATGAAATTGAGGGGAAAAACTGGACAAAGTTTTTAAATGGGAATTTTTACAGGTTCAACATAGAAACTAAATTAAAATTCGATCTTTCATAGATCATTTGAATGAAGTGCATTTACACGATTATACGACTTATAGACAAAATGATAATTTGAAGTGTTTTGTGAGCGAACAATGAACTCAAATTAAACCACGATTCATAGAGAAATTGGCTATTTTTGGGTTTGTAAAAGGATTTTCTAGGAAAACAAGATGTTGCTGTGTGCACAAAAAATACAAAGTTAAAACAAGCGTAGTTTTGCTTGCTCTTTTGAAAAGTCGCAAAAAGTTTAGCAGCAGCTCTGTATATTTGTAGCTTTAACTTTAGTAAGATAACTCTTGCGCCACAAATTTTGACATGGTTAATTTCTATGTTAAAAAATCTATGAAGTTTTTACATTTCCTTTTTTCTAGGTGACGATTCGGGATTGGAGTTAACCGAAAGAAGGCCACACCATTTGTTGCGACCCGTCTACATCAATGCGGTCGAAGTTGGATTTGCGTAAGTGTTTTTGTTAGTTAAAAACGAAATGGGCAACGTCTGCCTGATTTAGAACAAAGTTAAACTCTGTGAGATGTGTTAAATCAACAAATACTTACCAGTGCTGCATTTTGCTGATATGATACTTTAACAGCTCTAATGTATTCGATTATTTGTCGTTTAATTTAGATACCATCAAGTGGATCGGGATCGACGATTGCATGTGCGTGGTGTGACCATTGCCCTTTGGTATTTCATCTCAAAGGGGCATCAGGTACACCGATTATCTTGCCTGATTTGTTATTGTGAAGTGTTTTTTTAGGTGATCGCCCTTCTGCCACATTGTTTTAAGATCTACACGGAAAAAAGCTCGAATTGGACCGAATTGATGCATTTATTCCGAATGAATTTGATCGAATTCACGCCAGGTAAAGTTTTTTGCAAGATCTTAAGGTCTAAGGTTGCTAAAAGAATAGATATTCTTTTAGGTTTTGGCTCGGAGAAGTACATTGAGGTGAATCGAATTCTGGCAACAAGAGCACGGGAGACTGGAGGATGTGTAGTGGCTAGGAGTCAGGTCGTTTTGTGAAGTTTTTCTTTTAAATGCCCTGTTTTAGATGCACGCCATTTTGGACGAGATTCCGCAACTTGACAAAACTATTGAGAAACGGTAAATTTAGTTTGTTTCACAGTGTGCTTTTGGCAAACTTTGCCTATCACAAAATTAATACTTAGACTTTTAGACTTTTGATGCCCGCTTTTAATGGGGACGATTTGATCTTTCCAATGGATGGACCCTTGGGTAGAAATGGACCAACTTTGAATGTTTGAAATTTCTACACATTGCTTATTTTTTTTTTCTCTTAGTCAACACTCTGCTGTGATCCGGCTGACATTGAATGGGGACGATGCTCACATCATCAAGTATCGTTTTCAAACAAACAATCAAAAGTTATAATCATTTTTTTAGTTAACTCTACATGATCAGCGCACTTGGGTTCAACGATTGACGGCTGTTGTTTCATCAAAATGTAACAAAGCATTTCGAGATCTAAATTCTTTGTTTAAGCCACTTGGACTGCATTGGCCACCAAGTTGAACAACTTTGAGCCGAGCACTGCAATCAACTTGGTATTTTGTGTTGTGTGATTCGATAACGATTACATTGTAGAAGAACTTGCCGATTCGTCCAAGCACGTCACTCCATTTAAAAGTGCGTCCACCCGAGTCGAACCCGCCAGATGGACGAGGATTCAGCCATGAGAGACGAGCAATGAGAAGAAATGAACAAGAGTGCGCTTATTGCTGTTTGTACCTGTTGAGGAACGGTTCTAATATCTAATATCCGATCTTAAAAATTAAACACCGTTTTAAGTTGAAAAAGTTAAAACAATTCTGTTCTAAATGATGCAGTGTCGAAAAAGTAATATTAAAACCCCATGACATTTTATATATTTAGCCTCTACTACTTGCCAAGCTCGGGTGGAGATCAACAAATGAGCCCACATATGGCCCCATCATCCAGAACGTTGGATGACCTCTTTTTGCCTGAATACGCTCAAGACAGCCTTAGCTTGGAAAAAAGTGTAATTGCTTTCTTTTATTCAAATTTTTATCTGAATTCATCTAGGCATCGACACCATCTGATGAGAATAGCCCGACAAATGGCTATGGTGGTGGTTTTGGAAATTTTCAGCAAAATGGTAACGTGATTTTTTCTAATTGATTCAAATTCTTTTTTAGGTTATATGAATGGTGGCTTCCGAACTTACCAAAACAACAATTGTGGAAATCATTATGGACGATACAATAATCCTTCATCGGCTTACAATACCATGATTCGACGTCGATTTGTGGTAAGGGAATTTAAACGTATTCATCAATATTCATGGTTTTAGGGTCAGCCATATTGGCAGCAACGGGGATTCCCGGGAGTTGGAAATCACCCAAATGGACAGAACAATGGATATATGAATAACTGCAACAGCTTTAATCGATATCGGTAAATGGTATTTTATCTATTTTCTTGAGAGCATCTGTTTTTAGCTTCAATGAGGATTGTGGTACGTGTCAGAATTGTCGTCATTCTTGTCTCAACAATCGAGTTCAGCCGATTTACGAGAGACGCTATGATCAAAGGTGGATTGGGTTTTTTGTAATTTTTAGTGTTATTAGTGTTCTAAAAGTAGTAGTAACACAAATATTTAAGATCTGATCGTTTCTATGAGCGCCTTGGAGCTGTAGATGAATCTCCGATAAGTATGAATTAATCCTTTAAATTTAATTTTATAAATTTTAGGTCAAGATCCTCGATTCAGACCAATTCGTCACAATGACCTTTTTGAGGAGGTTTGGTGAAGATTGGATAAATGTATTAATCATTTTAGAATAACGTATGCGGTATGGGCTCAACGAATCACAATGAAAACAATGGTGGTTCACAGGCTAATCGTGCTCCGTCTTTTGAGAGTAATTTAATATATTTATTTTTGTGTAAAAGTTTATCTTTTTAGTTCTTCCCACATCAAGTACTGAAAACAAAGAAGTGTTTAATCAAGTGGCTGCAATACTTGGATGGGAAAAGGTATACTACTTTTGATTCAAGAGCCATATATGTATCTTGGTCTTGTTCTATATGATCGCTAAAAGGGTTTAGGCAAAAATGATTACTGAGCGATATCCTCATGTGAATTCGGTGCAAATGCTCATTGAGTACGCTTTTGAGGATCCAGGTTAGTCCTTTTTAACGGAACTATAATATTTATTGCATTTTAGATACTCCACCGGATCTAGTCTTATCAAGCGCTACTCAGGTGTTCGAATCAGGCATAGCACCAATTCAACAAGATCTCCAAGCGAATACCGATGAGGTTTTTTATTTAAGCTAATAAATTACCAGGTTTTATCTAGAACAACAATGTCGAAATTCCATCATCGAACTCAATTAATGAAGGACAACAAATTGAGATAGAAAGTCATCAGGTACATAGCAAGAATCATGTACATCGGTCATGGATTTAGGAAGAAGCATCGCTGAATGCCCCAGATGAATCTACTCGTGACATTGTCGACAATTCACCACAACAAGTACGTCCCTCATTAATTCCATTAACTATTCACGTTTAGAGTAATCAAATTAACACGGTGGAAGGTGTGAAACCGCTGAATGGAGGACAAGTTGATGTTGGATGGCAAAAGTTTGGACAGAGAGCCGAGAGGAAATCGAGTGGTAACTATTTTAAATGAGTATTCTATGTGAATTCTATGTGTAGGTTCGATTCGATATCCTACAATCTTTTTTTCTTTAGCTTTGATTGTTCCTTCTCGTCGTCGCCTTCGTGCTACTCAAGCTTTGCCAGCTCTTCCACGGGCGGAGAATACGGTGAGTTTAAGACTTTGTTTGCATAATATTACTGATTCATGTTTATTTTTAGGAAACAGAAGCTCTTCGAACTGCTGAACAGTCACCACCAAGTAAATCAGTACATACAGCGATTCAACTGGACATTGAAGAATTGGTATGTTGATCTATATCTTTTTTCCACAATTATTCACTTTTTCAGCCACTCATCGATCTCTCATTCACAGGACAAGACGAGGAAACAATCGAATCACCAGTCTCAATGTCAAACATTCCCGACGAACTCGCCAATGCCAATTTTTAAAGTATCTGGCTCCAATGATTGCGCTTTTATCGAATTCCATTTACAGTTGAGATGATGTTTAAGGTGTTCAGGCTTATTTTGTTATCGTTTTCTTTTGTGATTTCACCATTTAGAGTCTTTGTCGTGAGGAGGTTGTGAAACAGCTTAAAAGCTCATTGTTTTAACTCATTAAATCAAGAATATCCACTTGCAAGGTCACTTATTTTCTGGGTCCCGGTTTCTTTTATTGGGATTAGTGATATTGCACATTACGTTTTCCGGTTGGGTAATCATTCAATAAAGTTTGGCTAAACTAATCAAGCACCTTGAATTCTTAAAAATCAAGTCATAGAATAAGCCATAAGACGTTGCAGCACTCAAAGTTTGGCAACCTAATCAACCAGTTGTAGAGACAACAAGCGAATTTGTTTCTGCCTGATTGTGCTAAATGATTAAACAACCTTTATTGAATACTAGCAGAATAAACAACATACCTATGAACATGATCAATCCTCATCGGATATACCAGCAAAAATATATACAAAAATCTTTAAAAAGCACTATTTTCATATTTACCATCTTCATCGTCCCTCCACCATTTATTTTTTGGCAGGTCCAAGTGGCTCTCCGATGTCCTAAAACACAAATATTAGATGTAGTGTTTAAAAAATGAAACCTTTCCACGAAGCTTCACTCCAAGCGCACGCTCCATCTTGGCCAGAATTTGCTGATTGGGAACAGCCTTACCGTTTTCGTATTCAGCGACAACCTTAAAATAATGCAATAAACACTTCAATGTTCCACTCGGGTATCAGGAATTTTAGAGTTGCTCGATAATTCGATTTAAAAAATTTTCTAGTGAGAGCTGGCTTTTAAAAATCTATGAACTCAATCCTAATCGTTTCTCACCTGTGGCTTCTCGTTAACTTTAGTAGCAAGTTCTTTCTGGGTCCACTCCTTGACAGCACGAGCTTGCTGCATCACCTAAAAGCAAATTGCATATTGATAATCTAAGAAAAAACACCTTTCCAAGCGAAAGAGACACTCGATCATGATGAAGCTGCTCGGTTTCTTCGTCAAGACGAGCCGTGTCCTAAAAATTAAAAACTTATGAAACAAATTTATCAATAAAATTTTCTACCTTGTTAGAAGTGTGTTGTCGATTTCCTCCAGCCATAATTTTCTTCTGCGTATCCACTGGACCACCCGAGCGCAACGCTGCATTAATAGCCGCCTAAAATTGATTGTCAACAACAATATGTAAACGCTTAATATCGTTTAACAATGATTTGCTTTTTGCTTAGTCATTGTTTAAGTTCAATTTGAAAAATTTATGTCGAGTTTACTTGAGCGTGAATTTTTGGCTTTTAGAACTAAAAGGTTATTAATTTTTAATCGTTGTTTGGCTAGAAACCATGGCACTAATAAAGTTTGAGGGGGGCACTTTTTTCTCCTTCAAAACCACTTTTTCTGGGGTAGTTTTATGCGTAGATTCCGAAAAACACAACGAGAACTTAGGAAAATGCTTTTTAAGCCAAGTTTTGGGGCTCCAAAGTGCGCGCTTCTATAGTGTACTTCCAGCTATCGACTATTGGGGCACTTTTTCAGATCAAAACTAGAGTCAAAACCATTTTTAGCCACTAAATATTAATTTTCTAACTTTCTAACTTAAATATTCCAATTGGAACAGAAACGTAATCAATAGGTTAAATTATGCCAGAAGAAGTTTTTGGTCTCAAAAATGTTTTGAGAGACCATTTTTAGACCTCTTCCCTATGTACATCCCTCTCATCACACTGTATGAGCGTGCACTTTGGAGCCCTGAAACTTTGCTTAAAACTCATTTTCCCCAAGCTCTCGTTGTGCTTTTCGGAATCTACGCATCAAATTACCCCAGAAAAACTGGTTTTGAAGAAAGAAAAATTAAAAGAAAAGAATCAGAACTAGAATTAGAGGCGCGCCTGTGACTTCAACGTCTTCGAAACGGGACCCCGCTTGCTGATGATGACAGTCGTGTTGGCGTCGGCGTCCGAGAAGATTGGAGCTGATTTCGACATCTTGGCAAGATTTCACTCACTAAAACCATCAAAATCGTACTAGTAGGAATGATAAAAGATTAAACCGAAAATAAAAAGAGCTAATCAATAAAACAAGATGCCAAACTAGATGTTTAGGCAGATTATCAAAGCTTCCATAACATAAATTGGGTTTTTACGGGGTTTCTTCTCGAATTTACAAACTAGATAAGTTTATAGAGATTTTCAACAAAATTGAGGAGTAAATTCTAGCAGTTGGAAAAGTTAAAGCTGGAAGCCTGCAAATGCAAGAAAACGCGACTAGTTTTAAAATTTTCCGGAGTTTTACGACAAATTTAAAGATATTCAATTAAACAGCTGAAGAACTTTGAATGGTTAAATTTGTGCCTATTTTAAGAGCTATTCAGCTAGCTGTGTGATGTTTGATTTCGGGAGTGGGACAAATGCTACCTTTTTTTGCGCACCCGACATTTGCGCACCTTTTTTTCCGCACCTTGCCCATTAGCGCACCTTTTTTCGCGTTTTAAAAAAGCTCTAAAAGCTAATATTAACGAATTTCTATTCCAAAAGTTGTTTTACTAGGTAATTTTAAGGCGTAGAATCGAAATTTTAGCATATCAGAGCTTGTGGAAGCAAACGGACGGAGTTATACAAAGAGAAAAATCGACAATTTTCTGTAATTTGACCTAGCCGTTTTGTCTTTCAAATTGGTTCCACACGCTCTATTATGTCAAAATTTGAAATGGACACCCTCAAATTACCTAGAAAAACAACTTTTGGAATAGAAATTGGTTAATATTAGCTTTTAGAGCTTTTTTAAAACGCGAAAAAATGTGCGCTAATGGGCTAAGTGCGGAAAAAAATGGTGCGCAAATGTCCGGGTGCGCAAAAAAAGGTCGCATTTGTCCCACTCCCTGGATTTCTATTCAACGCCAACTTGACCGATAAGCTTCTACTGTAAAGTTTACTGTGATTAAAAATGGTGATAGCTAATGGATTCAGCTTCTTCTGGTGATTAACTTTTTAACGCATTCATCGAAATTTACGGCTTTTCATCGTTGCACCCTCCTTTTTTTTTGCAGAATCGTTGATTCTCGTACTAATTTATCTTTGAGATGCCACGTTGTCTTTTCTTTCACGCGCACGAGATCGAAACACCTTTTTGCACACACCCTGCCGCAGGGATATTCTGGGGGATTTTCGGGGAAAGGCTGAAAGGGTAAAGGAAGAGAAATGGTTGATGATGTCCTCTTTTTACTTTCATTTTCTCGTAGTCGTCTCTCCAATTAGCCTCTCGACGAAGCAGTGGGATGAGAAGGGCGCCCACCCGAATCGAATATGACACCCACATCCACTCCTTGTCCTCCTTCTCCTTCAGATAAAGATCTCATCTCTTTCAAGAGTTATCTTCAGCTCTCCTTTGTTTACGAGAAAAAAATATTTATGCGGATTCTCTGAAAATGTTTTTGCGGCACATTGCATGACCCATTGCAACACGGGTTTTCGCGTCATAATTTCGTTAACAGCTGCTTCTTGTTCAAAGGTTGCTTTAACTCACCTAGTGGTAAGTGGGTTGTTTTTTAGAGTTAATTTTTAGGCGAAAAGCTAAACCCAGAATTTTATTAATTCCCGTGACTGACTGACTGATTCCACGTAAAACATCTTGCGAAATCTTCTGAAATCTAGCGCAAATCTCAAGTCTTAAATTAAAGTCTAAATTTGTGCAGAGCTTCGCTTTAAATCTTGCTGCTAAGTCCTAGACGCCAAAAGTTCGTGGAGATCTAGGTTTTCTACTGTATACAATTGGTAAAAGTCTATTGTATACAAGATTGAATAAAAAATTGATTGATTGATAAAAGATTGAATTTTTCAATGTTCGCCAGTCAGAATTGACAAGACTGTCGACAGTAAGACTTTCAGATACAACAGCGAAACTCAAAAGAGCTTTAATGCACGGAATTTTCCATATATTGTTAGAAAAATTTCATATCAAACTTTTTGGAAGATAGATAAAACTGAAGTCGGCGAGGTACATGAACTTATCTCGTCTAGTTTTTGCCTCAAAGCAAGCATTCGTTTTATCACTTGTCTCATAAAGTTAATGAATATACTCAAAACTGCTGAATGTCCCAAAAGTACTCAAAAGATTTATATGAAGTTGGTGAATGATCTCTAAAGCTCAAAGTTACACCTGACCGCGAAATGTGACACCAAACTTTTTCGTGAACACCGATCCTTTTCTCTACCCATTTTTTTGAATCTAATTCCACTTTTCAAAGTGAAACTTTTCTTTCGTTTCCAAAAAAGACTTTCATTTTTCATTTGCAGTAAAATTTAACAACATCTTGACGATCGCATAAAAAATGGAATTGTTACTTTACTGCACGGAATTTTTCCATCAAGCAACATGTCCGATTGAATCGAAAATCATATTCAATTTTGCAATAAGAGTAAGAATAACGAGCAAGAAATGAATATTCATCTATTTGTACTCTTTAAATGAAAGATGATCGAGTGGGTTAATCTTGTTTTCATAAATCTTTGAATGGGTAATAAGGGTAATATTTCTCTAGGTGACCTAGAGAAAGATTTTGATGACCACAACACTTGCCCAGTTTTGATGACTAAAGTGCTCGCTATCCATTCTTGAATTAGTGTTATAACTTTGGATTTTGGCTTGACATCTTGACCAATAGACAAAGCGTTATTGAAAGTAAGATTGAGACTTTATTGATATCATAGAAGCCTGTAAGTTATATAAGTTATCTCGTAAAGTGCTTACTTTCCTTTCCTTCCTTTCCTTCCTTTCCTTTCTTTCCATCCTTTCCTTTCTTTCCTTTCTTTCCTTTCTTTCCTTCCTTCCCTTCCTTTCCTTCCTTTCCTTCCTTTCCTTCCTTCCCTTTCCTTCCTTCCTTCTCTTTCCCAACTTTCCCAGTTTTCTTATTCCAAGAAAAATTTCAAGCTAAACCTTAATCTGTTTTAAGAAAACTAGATCCTATTAGATTTGATTATACTTTTCGGAAATTCCAGCTTTTTGCAACGCTTAATTTGATCTCCTTTGAAGTTATCAAAGTACAGGAAAGCTTAGATCTGTAGTAAACTTATTTTAAACCCTTCTTGTCTTTTTTAAAATTAATTTTAGGATTTTTATTTGTTCGTTCATTTCGTTTTTATTTTGTAAGTAATCGCTAACAACATCACTATATTTGAGAAATTACACCTTACCAAATCTCCTCCAAAAAATGTTTTCTCGAAATTGTTTTTCGATCTCCACAAAGCTTGCTAAACCAATTGAATTTCATCGTCGAAAAGCCGCTTGAAGAGTTGAAGTCTTTTATAGTTCATCTCGTAAACTCATGAACAAATGGGAAAAAGGATTGGTGGAATACTCGAAATCCCATCTAAAACTGAGAGCTCTTTATGTGAAGAAAATGAGAAAAGAAAAGCGAAAAAGAGATGTTGATGCTTAGAAGTGCCGTAGAAGTAAAAGAATGGAAAGGATTGGAAAAAAAAGAAAGAGGTGAGATTCGATTTGTTGTGGCCACTTCCCCTTTTAGTCTTTTTTTTTCCCCAATCCCCTTTCTATCGAGTTTCAATTGCTCCTCCTGTGTGACTACTCACCGCAAGATTGAGGTGATTTTTCCATGTCTTTATCCTTTTCTTTTCCATCAAATCATCCATGTCATCTATCCAAAAGATCTCGAGAAGTTGTTTGAGAAGTCCCTCTTGAGAAGTTTTTCACTTTTTTTTCAGTTAAAGTTCATTCCAGAAGCGGCTTCATGTCATTTTCCAAAATCTCCCTTCTTTTGGAATCAAACTTGAACTTGAATCAACCTTATTTGTTGAGAACTTATTCGGAATTAAACTTGAACACTTCCCAATTCTGTACAATGTTCTTTTGACTCTTTGGACATCACAATCTTTGTTCGTACAATCGTACAATCGTACAATCTTTGTTCTTTGGATTCAGATTTTGAAAATTTCAGAGTTTAATAGAGATATAAGATTTCCTCTAATCTAAATCAAAGTTCGACTTTCAGAAGTGTTTTTCTTTTCTTTTAAAAGCCATCTGAAAGAGATTCAAATGATTCAATTTTTAAACTCATTATTTCATAAAAACTTTAGGTTATTGTCCAACTGATCTATTGAATAAAACCCCAGTTTCTCAATAAATTGTGAGTGGATTTTTGGAAAGAGAGCAAGGGGATCCATCTGTGTGAATGTCTGTTAATGTCTCCCTCGAGAAAAACTTCACACACTTAAACCCATAAAAAGGAAACTTTCAGCGGAAACGTTGTGCCAAATTTTTGCCTCATTTGGTCATACATCTGACTAGGAGAATTAGACATTTTATCCAAAGCACTGAATAGCTAGAAAGATTTTGAAAACCGTTTCGGTGATCAAATAAAGATTTCGAGGTAATTTACTTTAGCAAACCTAAAACCTAAAACTAGAGCTTATCAGCTAGACCAAGTCAAGCCAGGAAACTCAACCGATATCAAGATTTCGGGAAATACTCATTGAAACAAACAAAATTGACTTTTAGAATATCTCTGATAAGCTTCTTTCCATGCAGCATTCCATTCAGCTTTCCTTTTCTCTCAAATAGTTCTCAAATATTCAATTGAACCAATTACCCAAGCCAAACGCTTCCCCAAATCTTTTATCTCATCTTTTCAGAGTCGAGATGAAAGTTCGATTAGTTTTGCTGAATACTTGAAAGTCCAACTATCAAATGCCAGTTAGGAGGAATCGGTTTTATGTCTCGTATCTCAAAGGGGAATTGAGGGAATGGATGAGTTTCCCCAATTAAGCCCTTTCATTTCATTTCTCTTTCATTTCTCTTTCATTTCTTTATCATCTTTTTTCCCTATTATGAAAGATTTTCCAAATTTCTTTTCCTATTTTTCCTTTTCCCATTTTGCATGAGTCTCATTACACATCAATTTGTGCACTCGATTCCTCTTTTCGACGTCACTTCGACGATGATTAATTAATTACGAGAAAAGAAAACGAAATAT